TCAGTCCCCAGCCCCACAATGGGATGGGGAGAGAATCAGGGGAAAAAAGTAGAACTCGTGGGTTGAGATAAGGACAGTTTAATAGAACAGAAAGGAAGAAAATAATAATGATAATAATAATAATAAAATTACAATAATAATAAATAATAATAATAAAAGAATTGGAATATACAAAACAAGTGATGCACAATGCAATTGCTCACCACCTGCCAACCCAGTTAATTCCCAAGCAGCAATCCAACCCCCCGGTCAACTCCCTCCAGTTTATATACTGGGCATGACATCACATGGTATGGAATATCCCTTTGGCCAGTTTGCGTCAGCTGTCCTGGCTGTGAACCCTCCCAACTTCTTGTGCCGCTCCAGCCTTCCTGCTGGCTGGGCATCAGAAGCTGAAAAATCCTCAACTTAGTCTAAACACTACTGAGCAACAACTGAAAACATCAGTGTGTTATCAACATTCTTCTCATACTGAACCCAAAACATAACACTATACCAGCTACTAGAAAGAAAATTAACTCTATCCCAGCCAAAACCAGGACAGAAAATTACACATGGTTGCAAGAAAGGTTTTGCCTTGAGTGGCAATGTATTACAGAACAGTAGCCATGGCGAGATCTGTAGAGAGACCTACATGAAGGGTGAATTTAGCAACAAAATGTAATCACCATAATACACGTCAGGAGCTAACCTACCCAGCTGCTTTCTCCCAGACTTGTGTAGAACAAGGAATAGCTCCACAATTCATATATCAAGCTGGAAACTGGAAACAGTGCTTGTGGGAAAAAGATACATTGCCATCAAAGTCAGCTGGAGTCATGCGGCCCCACTCTCAGCCAACGACTTCTCCCTCGTGTCTCATGGCTTCAAGCCCAACCATGCAGGTGTGCCTTGTAGCTTGGGCTCCCATGCATTGGTGGCAACTTGAAGCAAGGTTTGCTCAGTAACTACAAACATCACATAGTTTTGGTAAGCGGCAAATAAAACTTTTTCATACGCATTAGTATTCAGCACCAAAGGTCATACCCTTTATTATCAGAAAAACTAACTTATCTCATTTCCTAGGAAGATGGAGTCTGGGCACACTTAGAGACAAGGTGCATGGCCTCTGTAGAGATGTGAAAAAATACCCTGTCCTATAGACAAGAGCCGATTAAGAGGTGGTATCGTCACTGCCTGGCCAGTGTCTCACCCAGCGCTGTTCCCACCTGGATGCATGGTAACTGCAATTCTTCCATGACGTGCATTACTCACACCGCTGAGTCCACTGCCATCAGCAAGATGCTCCAAACGCTTGCACCCTCCCTTCGCTCGAGATCTCTGTAGAAGGTGAATGGCAGAATTAGGAAAAAAACCCCTTTGACGTCCTAGCTGTTGTTCTGAATCTTGGATAACGTTCTCGCCGTTGGCTGTCCCCACTGACTCTACAGCTATGCCTGAGATGAGTAAATGACATGAAGGTAGATAAAACTTGCTGAACGTCAAACATTTTGTACTGGAAATGAAATCCGGCTTCTGCGGCTTAACTATCTCATTTCTTGAATTTTCTTTTTTTTTTTTTTTTTCTTTCTAGGCAGGTTTAGGCCTCATTTGCGTGGAAACCTCAAGGGGAAACCAGAGGTTAGTTTTTAGTCAGCAGAGCCTTTTTTCAGAAGGTCCCATAGATGTCTTTTTAAAATGAGGAAACAGCAAACCCGTAACCTGGGAAGTAAATCCTGAGCCTCTTCCCAAGCTGTCTGCTTGTGTTAGGATCCCCTATTGTTCAGTGTTATTTTTCTGATAATTCATTGGCAGATGACTCTAACACAGATCAAGCAAAAAAAAATAGTTAAAAAAAATAATCCAGAGTATTAGAAGGTGGTTCATCTCTGTAGATGAAACAACCACCTCTACCTTCCGTTTTGAATAAATTCAGATTTTAACTGAAGTGGCCTGGCTTATTTCCAGTTTACAGTAATTCTATTCCACTTACCTGAAATTCTCCTTTTAATACTGGCGAAATGTTTGTCATCTCTCAACTGCCTGCAATGGTTGCAAAGCGCTACAGGAGCAAGAGTGGTTATGGCAGGGGCGAGTAAAGAGATTTCTTTATAGGCAGTGCTAAAATTTTCAAGAGCATCCTCCACTGGCACGAATCTGTTTCCCTGGAAGAAACATGGAACTTCCAGAGGCTCCAATGGGAGCTGAAATAAGCAGACAGGGGTGCTTTTATACATCCTAATGGTCCCCCAGCATATCCTGTATTGATAACATTGAAGTAATTTAGACTATTAGTTGGCTGGAAAACGAGAACTTAGACACAAGAAAAAAAGAAAAAGCTGGAACCCTAAAAATCTGTATTATTAAATGAAAATGTTGAGGGTGTATGATAAAGGCAATTTTATTTTCACCATAATGGTTTGTTTCTAGTTTCCTTTGATGCCATATTTTGCCTAATGTTTTTCTGGAAGCGAAGTAGCTTGAAATGTCCTTTGAAAGTAAAGGAGCAGCGAGATGAAGTTAAAAATGCTCCTTGTATTTCAAGTAGTATTTTGGTACAGCTGTTTGGCAAGCACTGTAAATACTTACTGCATTTTATTTCAAGGCTCAGAAGCTTCTTTTATAAGCTTATCTCCTTTATTGCTCCAAAACAGCAGCAAACCCCAGCACTTTCTTATCCATATACAATGCATTACTAACTGAATGCAGCCCAGAAACTCTTGTGGGATGTCTGCGTCTTCCGAACATCCTAACCTCTTGCGCTGAGTCGGAAAGTGGCCGCCACCTTCCTCTTCATTGTAGCAGCAGTTTAATGACCAGGAGAGGTTTTTTACCCCTGCACCCATAGGCTGTTTTAATTTGTTTTTGGTTTTGGTTGTTTGTTTTTTTTTTTAACTACATTATTTAGGTACTTTGCAATCCTTCAGCAAAGTAAGAAATGTCATAAATATGAAGCATCCTCCCATAAAATCATCCCCTTTTGGAGTGGCACTTTGGGATCATGTTCATGATCTGGTGTGCTCTTCCAGTGGGACAGTAGCAATCGGAACTGATGCTCTGTTAAATGATGAGAGTAAGAAATCAAATAACTGCAAGCATCCTATACATCAAAAGACTGAAGACCTTCTGCAGATCCAATAAAAAACCAAAACTGTTCTCCTAATGATTTAAGAAGCCGAAAAATAAGGAGAGGTTTATTAATCACTGTGGTCTAACCTCATTTAACGGGAAGAAGTGAGGGGTTTTTGCTAACACATGAAACTGGGACCCAAAGGTGACAGACGTTTTTCATAGTTCGTGGATGGACCTACACCTCTCGGTTTGTTTTGGAGGATGGGGATGTAGTTAGAAATTCTTGAACAACAGCTTGCTTCTGTACCAAAGCAATATCTGAAATAGGGTGCACGCCGAAAGGCAAGTGAAATTCGTGTTCTTTTAAAATAAGTTATCCTGTCTAATAAAGGTAGAACTTTTCTGTTATTCATAGCTGGAGGATGTCCTGATTTACAGTTCAGATACAATTAACAGTTTCATTTCACATCATTCTTTTTCCTCATAAGTGAATATCTGAATCATACACTGAAAAAAGCAACTGCAGACCACTTCTATAAACCCACTTACAAGCCAGTGGTGCAGACAAATTGAAGAAAAAAGCCTTGCTTTCTCCTGTTTTTCTCAGAGAATGATTTTTTTTTCCCCAAGAAACCTTCAGCCCAGCACCTGAAGCACTTAATCAAATGGGATTTAGACACTTACCTTCTTTTCGAAGCCCCATGGGCAAAATTGTTGGGATGGTTACCCTAGGCTTTGCAGGGCAGAGACCTCTGGCATCCACCCTGTCTATAACATGCTACCTGCCCCCATCCCGTATACACCCACACTCAACCCTTCTTCCCGCTCCAAACTCAAAAGCAACAGAAAACCTGAACCCTCAGTCCCAGTTTGGTTGCTGGCACTGGTGTTATCTGGCAGCACTGCTCCTCAAACTGTTAGAAGCCAAGCAAAAATGTATTTAACGGGAATTATGAAAATCAAAAAGTACAAGGTTCAACTTTTTGCAAAGCACCTTCTTCCCCCACATCAAAGGGCTCATTGATTTCTTGCTGAAGTTCTGACCAAAGTGGAGCTCAGTGGGTGAAAGGGGGGGTGGGGGGGAGAAAAAGATCACATCTGATCTTAGGAGCTGGGACACGCAAGCATTTTATGGCCCATCCAAAGCTGATCGTGAGACAATTCCTGAATGCAAATATGATTTAATAGGGCTGGCAAATGTTAGGAATCTGTCCGAGCATATTCTCCAAGTGAGAAAAAGCTCTTCTTTCCCTTTGCTCCCTTTTGTATGTCCTTGAACTTCGTATTCCTTGAAATCTCAAGTAACTATTCACATTAATAAAGTGTTAAGGTATTTGACCAGGAAGATTGGCTTTGCTGATTTCAGCACTTAAAAAGGGAAACCACTCTTGTTTTAACCACTTAACACTCACCAGCTCAGTTTATTTTCTTATCCCATTTAACTTCTGTTCAAAATCAAACAGGAAGCAATTAAGGTGAGCCTACTACAAAGCAGCCCTCAAAATACGTCGCTGGGTGCCTAGCGCAGAATGAAGGTCATGCCCTCCAAATGTAATTATACACATTTGAAAGGACGGCAGAGCCCATACGTTGGGGTGACCGGTGTAAAAATACACCGCCTCAACTTTACTTTCAGCAGGCAGATGACCATGGCCAAGACAGACACTGCTACCACCACCTTCATGGAGGCACTGGTGACAACACAGGTTGAACCGACAAAGCACATTAGACCAACGATTTTATCTCCTTGAATCGACAGAAAGGGCGAGGAAGAAACTCGACTCCTTACTATGCTGCAAAACCATCATCGTTTCCTCTCACCTAACTAACTCCCCTTTGACTTTTGTCAGGTCACTGCCCTGATGCCAGGGGGAGGGATGTCGTGGACATAAAGCATCTAATGACAACAGTGGGAGACAAAGCAAAGTCTTTACACAGGATTTAGCTAATTATATTTTGGGCAAATATTTATTTATCTAAAAACAAAATAAAAATCATTTTTAAAAGAAAAAATGTATTTAAATAAAAAACAAAATTGTGAAATGTTATGGCACAGAAGTTCAAGACAAGTATAAATCCAGTTGCCACAACTGTTGCGTATTAATGTTGCACATTTTTCTATAAAGGCTTTATTAAAGGTATTTACATGGCAATAAGATGTGTAAATATATACAGCAATCTGGGGACAACTTTTCGTTGGGATTCTCATATGAAAAAATGCCTTAAATACAAAATTTTAAAAGAAAAAAGGTTGAAGAGTTCATCCCCAAGCATGAAGAATGTCCCATCATCCCTTATGCCCAAAGTATCAATTATGAGGCAGTTTTGAGGTTCTGGCCAAACCCTTGGGAGATTCAGCCAAGGTTGTGTAGTCTCAAGTTAAATCGCACAGCATGCAGTTGCAACAGTTCCACGTTGGATGGACTGGTGTAGTTCATGAGTGATATTAGAAACAATATTTTAGCATAGTTTCAGTCTCATTTGGGTTGTTCTAAGCGATGCCCAAGAGTTCCTACGCACAAGAGTTCCTTAGCTGCTCGAGTTTGTGTTTCAACTGTTCTCTCCTCCGCCTCAACTGCTCTTTCTCTGCGATCAGTCTGTGTTCGTCCGACTGGATGGAAAGAACGTACTCCGTTGCTTTTTTCAGGATGACGACCTTGGGCGCCTTTTCGTTGTTGGCCACCTCGGGTATCTGGTCACGCAAGGCAAAGAAACTCAGCTTCAGCTCGTTTCTCCTCTGGCGCTCCAAGACGTTGTGCGTTCGCCTCTTGTCGTTCTCTTCCGAATCTGACGTGCGGGGACTCGAGCATTTTCGGTTGTTGCTGATCTGTTTGAGAACTCTGCCACTGTCCAACTTTAGCCTTTTTGCAGCTGGATATTCAACCTTGGTGGAGGGAGGAGCGGCGTAATTGTGCTGATGGATGTTGACGTGACACCGTTTGAGAACCAGCGGGCTGTGGTGGGGCTTACTGTGCTCTTCTGATGTGTCTGTGCTGGACTCTGTGCTGGATTCGGATTCATTCGCTTCAGCTAATGTAACGACATCGATTTCCTCATCTTCCTCTTGTTCTTCCTCTGCAAGGGGAAAAACAACAACAACAAAAGGACTCATAAGCTGATCCGTGCAAATACTCTCAGGACCGCTGCGTTTATAAGGGAAGGTTATTCTGAGCTGCACAGCAAGGAACCCATTGACAAACCCTTCTTAAACCCATCTGAGGCTGCTGGACTCCGCTTTCCCCCAAGAGCCTTTCCTTGAAGGAAGCAACGCTTCGAGTGCAATAGGACACACGGAGCGTGCTCCAAAGCCCGGCTCCCCGATTTCAAAAGTTGCAAAGACGTTGCGTAATTCCGAGGAGCGCAGGAGAGATAGCAGGAAAGTTTAACCTCGGTTGTCAGCAGTACAGCGCAATAAAGCTCCCAGACTCGAGCTGCCCTTAATCGAGGATTTAGAAGGCTTTGGCCACGCCTCAAAAGAAAGCTTACTTAACACACATGTGTATTCAGAGACATTTTCTGAATCCCTCTTGATCTGCTAACTTGTGGAAAATCGAAGGGGGGGGGGAGGAAGGCTGTAGGGCTTGAGCAGAAACCCACTTTCAAACGAAATTTATGAGGGAGCGGAACACGCTGTCAAATACCTAAGGAAGCATTTCTAAAACTTTCCCAGCCCCATTCACTCTGCAGTCACTTTCACTAGCACCTCCCTGACTGACTGCACATTCCCCCCGCGGCTCCCGGGCGGGATTTACCTCTTTCCCGGCCCACGGGTGGCACCGGGTGCCAGCTTCCCCGGGACACCGCGCTGGAGACCAACTCTGACCCCGTTATGAAAGTTTCTCCC